TTTCATTTGTAGGTCACATTTATTTTTGAAGGTAGAGTATTTGTCCATTACAGACACGAGGGTCCGATGCAGCGACATCTAAGGGACTACGAGAGCAAGACGAAATAAAAGGAGGGAAGAGGAAGAATGCTAGATAAAAAGGGTGTGAATGGAGAGCAAGACAAAAAATAAAAGACGGGAGAGGAAGAATGCTAGATAAAGAATGTGTGAATGGAGAATGAGTGGATAATGATAAAAAATATATCTGGAGAATGATTCTAAGAATAAAAATATAGATATACGGAAACTTGTTGGACACAGATTAAAAAATATATATATATAGAAAGAGAGAATGACTGCATATGGATTTCTAAAATATATGGAGAATGAGTAAGGCCAGAGAGTAAATAATATTTCAAAAATATATATAGAATGATCAGGAAAGGATTAAAAATTACAAAGACGAATAGGACGAAAATTTTTAAAAATGGAGATACTAGATAAATAGAAAACAAAACAGAAGAGATAAAAAACAGTTTCGTGATTTGATGGCGGGAAAATTATCAACACAATAAATTACAAATAATAATAACAAATGAAGTGGTAAGAATGCGAAGAGGATGGCTTCGTGTGAAAAAGAATACGGAGAGAAAAAAAAAATGTTTCTCAAAAAATATATAAATAAAAAAATAAATAGAGAGTGGATAGTAATTAGTTATATATCTTGTTTAAGTCACTGTCATTGTACCTTTATAGAAAACAGCAATGTATAAAACCCAGGAGAAGGAGTAGCTTAAAGTGTGATTCTGTGACTTATTCAAATAAAGTAGGGAAACACTGCTTATCAACTCAGACTGCTTGATGTGTATATATATTGTTTTTTTTTTCAATTTGGCACAATTTCATTCTTGTTAAAACTTGGACATTTTGATTTACTTTTATTTTTAACTTGTTGAATATAACAATGAGGTGCAAATGATGCTTGAGTTATTGTTTAATAACTATAGTTTGACCAGTGTTTTCCTCTAAAGCCATATGTAATTAAATATACAGATTTATATTAACATTTTACAAGATTAGGAAATGAAAAGAAAAAAAAACTTTGCTTCCTTTGGCATTCAAAAAAGCAAAGTTTTTTTTTTTTTTTTAGGGGAAGAAGGGTCACAAAGTCCCATGAAGATGAAAAACAAAAAAAAAAAAAAAAACAATGAACAGGAAACAAATCAAGGCAATATGACTATACAGATATTTTTTTTGAGTCCCTGAAAACTCTGAAATGAAAAAAAAAAAAACAACAGAAAAATATACACATGGGGAGAAGTTATGGTAAAACTCGAGTGCTATACATGATTACCTTTCAACATGAGACGAGAAGGAAAAAAAAAAAAAGAAAAAAAAAAGAATGATTTTTTTTTTAGAATACAATATATACAGGGTATATCCAAATTTACTCACACTCTAAAATTTACATAATCTGTACAATAATAGAATTTAACATGTTAAATGTCTCACCAACTATGTCAGACACTTTAAAGATGGCGCAGTACTTTTTTTTTTATATATATATCTTTGTTTACTGCAGCTTTCAACTACCAAAATTAAGTTTTACATAAGCAGATGCTGTAATCAAACTCGTCTCATCTCTCATTCTTACCCAAAATTCAATAAGCAGGGAAACATATTCTTTTTTTTTTTTTGCACTGATCATACTTACAATATGAACTATTCCCATACCATGTCGTACTTGCATTACCGAAAAAGGAAAAAAAAAAAATAGTTGCACAGTCCTTGTTAAAAAAAAATTGGATTACTGGACACATAAAGATTGAAGTTATCATTAAAATCCACTTGAACATTTTTTATTTTTTACATATTAGGTGAGAGAAATGAAATTACGTCTTAAACCTTTTTCCATCTACAAACCTTTCCATTTTTGTTATTATACACCATCTCTCTTCCTGCCTTTGCCTTAACCTGTTCAATACAACCTATTTGTATATCTATTTAAAAATAATAATGCATGCCAACCCCAAGAGAGGATAATTGACAAAGTCACTTCTAACAATTCCAATAAAAGGGAAAAAACGTAGAATACTGCATATCATACGTGAGCTATAACACAAGACTGAACTTTTCTCTTCCAGTCTAGGCTATACTCAAAACCATATCAAGTACTCCACAAAAGAAAGAATACGACAGAGTGCAGGTACGAGAGAGAGGAAAAAGTAAGAGAGAGCGGAGAAGGAGGAGGATTAAAAAATATTAAACAATATTCTATATACACAAGTTGCCATTTGTTAGAAAGTTTCCTTGTCACTTCTCTCTCCGAATCACTTTACCATAAAATCTGTTCCTTACTACCATTCACTAACCACCGTTACAGCAGCTGATACAGGTACAGAGCAAGACAAAGTTCAACCATCGGGAACCGAAAAACCTACAATATTTCTCGATATTTTTTCTCTCTCTCTCTCTCACGATATTCTAAGTCAATAAAGTTTCAGTCTGTCATTCTAGTCCTTGTACCTTAAAAAAGCCATAGATTATACTCTATACGTCTGTACTCATAGCATACTAAAGTACACTTAACTGGTACGTACACACTCTTAACCATCTGATAAAGTTCCTTACCAATCTTACATTCACCTGTTTTGCATAGTCCAAAACTAAGACTTAAACAAATTCCCATTTCAACTCGGGTAGAATAAGCTAAGACGACATAATCCATGAACTGAACACCGATACGAAATTTTGACGACCACTTTTTCTATAACTTTTTTTTTTTTGGTAGCTGCCACTCAAAGAAACCATGAGAACTTTCCCTAATTCAGTTGCGTTACTTCTAATAAATATTATGACAGTAGACTTATGGAAAAAATAAACAAATAAATAAAAACGTAACTTCTGATACTAAAAAATTTCATCTACTATCTTAATAGATGTATATCTGTGTCCCCCAGAAGCCTTAAGAATAAGGGCTAAGTGGGCTTTAAGCTCTTTAAATAAAATTATAACAAATAGAAAAAAAAAAAAAAATGAATTCTGGAACATCACCTGCATTTGTAACTGCAATCATCATTATATATTTTTTTTTTTTAACTTATTTACGGAATTGATTTTGGTGTGGATGGTTGTTTTGGCAACAAAAAATAAGTTCCAAAAATAATCTCTCAGTATCATGATTTTCATAACTTTAATAGATTTCTGTCTCTCTTACTCTTGCACTTCCCTTTGATCTGTAATCGTTCTACTAAAAACAATGGCTTGTGCAAATTCCACAATTATTTTTTACTTAATTACAAACAATAAAAATTGAGCAAAGTGATGTTCCAGAATTTGAGATTATGCACTCCCGACTAGAAAATATAAAATAAAATAAAAAATTATAATAAGAAGAAAAACACAACCAACTGGTTAGTTCTCAAAACGTAATACATGACTGCACCATCAAAGCATATGAATAAAAAAAATCCCTTAAATTATATTACTGTACAAATGCCATATATCAACACAATGGAATGTTTAGTTACTGCGGAGGAGTAGATGCCCATTATTCAAAAAAATAACTTTATGTAACAAAAAAACAATAAACACTACTTACACAAACAATTCAATTGAGCACAGTATTGGCAGAGTCTCATACTAATACAGATATTAAAACAAAAACCTAAAAAAAAAGAAAAGAAACAAAAAAAAACAAGAAATACCGTTTCATAACCAGAGCCGAGCTACAGTACAACACCTTCCAACCTGTCGGAACAAACGACAGAATCCGTCCGTAAATTTGTCCCTATATTTTCATCCTCACTAGTCTCTTCTATTTCATATATCTAGACTGATCTGTGCGGATCGCTCATGAGACTCTTTACCTTATCTCAATAAAGAGGTATGTGCGCTCCATTTAAATAAAATTTTCCAAAAAGAATAAATTAAAAAAAAGAACCCGGTTTCTTCTTTTCACTTGAAAACTGGACTACGAGTAGATACGGTTAGGTCAAACACCCTATATGGTTTAGGGGGGGAAACACTGAAATGTATCCCTCACAGTACTGGATTATCAGGTGTGTATATTAAAATTCTGGCATGCAACGGGAAGAAATACATAAACAAACATTTTCATATCTGTTAGTCCTGATCCCTTATAGCGGCTCAGGTCTCTGCTTGGAATGTATACAGTTCATTAAGTACAGTTACACTGCCCTTTTTTTTTTCATGACAAAAAAAAGAATTTCATCAAAAGGCATATGATGTCCACTATATTCCATGAGATTATTCTTTTAAAGACTTGAATTATCAATGGCATCTTACACTGGTTGCATATTCAAAGTATGCTCTTCTTTTTTTCTGTCATGCACACACATGGTTGTGCAAACACTGCTGCTTCTCATCCAATTATATTTCCTTTTCCTCAGTAATCTTTCTTTCTCTCCCAAACTGAGAGGAATTCCCCAAACGCCAAAGTTTCTGAGGTGATGTCAAACTCCTTCACAAGCACCAAGATTTGCCATGCTTGCTGAGCGACGTCACACCACTGCTGCCTATACCATTAGCACTGAACAACGTAACTGTCCCAAGAGTGTTTGTTCATTTTGTCTGTTGGTTTCAGCATTCTTCGCCAGACTTCTGAAAGAGGTCGGATCCACCTCCTACTCCTACTGCCGTGTCACTGCTCGTGTTGCTCTGAGGCCCAGAGGTAGCTGCAGGTTCCGGCTGAGCACCTGGGGCAACAGTCGTCACGCTGATGGCATCTCCATCATCTTCAGAGTCTGAGGTGTCACTGTCATGAGATGGGCCAGCCCCACTCTGGAAAAAGGGGACATGAATGAGAAAAAGCACATATTATTCCGAGTTAAAGTAAAACAAATGACAAAGTATTTTCTTAGGTTCTTAGGAATCATCCCTTTGTCATGAAATAGCAGCCTACATCAAAGCTTTCTTGTCTGTGTCTCTGTCTCTGTCTCTGTCTCTGTCTCTGTCTCTGTCTCTGTCTCTGTCTCTGTCTCTCTCTCTCTCTCTCTCTCTCTCTGTCTCACTATGATGCATAATATAAGAAAAGCCAAAAACTTCACACCACATAATACTAAAACATAACTTTATCCATACCATTAATCTTGAAGGATACTGGCCGTCTAATCGATGAGAGTAGTAACCCGCTCTGACAGAAGGCCCAGCTTCATCCTCAGACACCCCCCCTTCTGAGCTCTGTGTGCTCTGCGTGGACCTTGTCAGACAGACAGACCGATGGTTCTTGCTCCTTGGAATAGGCCGTCGCATGAAACTGTAATAGGGAGGAGGATGCTAAATGAGGAAGGTACTGTATAATACGACTCAATAGAATAATTCAATAATTCGATAGAACCCAATCTGCCTCATGAAGGTCTACAGAAATGTATTCATTATTTTTGTACAAACAATCTATAGTTAATTGAAATTATTTACAATTTAGTAAACAAAATATAAAAAGTATTTGCAGAAGGGTCACTGCAGATATACCCTAAATAACTTGACAACTAGATGTATTACTAGTTTATGTATGTCATTTTTATTTGCATATGTGCCAGCATTTTTCTCCTATGCTTATTCTACCATACATGTTATTACTCACCATTTTCGTTTTATGACTTGGTAATGGCCATCTAGGGAACCATCATCATTATCATCATCATCTTCATCTTCCTCCTCCTCATCCTCCTCTTCTTCTGACAACTCATGACCAACAGAGTCATGGCTGGAATCAAATTCACTGGAGGCAACCATGTCTGAATTGCGATTCAGGATGTCCTGCTCAATGCTGGAGTTTCTCTCCTCTTCCTCTGTCTCATTTGTAGTGTTTGAGGACTGGCTCTGAGACATGCTTTCAAGCTTTGGCTGGCCGATGTCCATTGGGGTCGACTCTGAGAAACTTTCCGGAATGGAATGGTCAAATCTCATGAGAGGACCGTGCTTTACCCGTCTGTATCCATTTGGCAGTGCTTTTTTATCCGCTAAAACTCTCTCTATTGCATCCCACTTGTCCCCGAGCTGGTGGAGAATGTCTACATCATCCTCATTGTTGTTGAGTATCTGTAGGGTCTCCTCAATTGTATATTCTTCTCTACCTTCACTTAATCTTGCTACAACTGGGTCAGCAATGGGGAAATTTTTATTAGAGTCATTAGAGTCTGTTGAAGTTAACCGCCAATACTGCTGCCGAGGACAGTGCTCACAGCAAGGGCTCTGCTCAGGGATAGTGTTGCCATTGGGACTGGTCTCGAGGGCAGTGTGGCCGCAGGGAGGCTTCTTGTCCCCGCTTGTGTCCCTGTCTTCCTTATGCAGAGGCAGTGTGGACGGTTTGTTGGGCCCTGGGGTCTTCACAGGCGAAGTGTCAGTTTCACTCATGTCCATGTGATCAGTCTGCGTTCCTGAGTCTACTAGTATAGGAACTCTCTCATGGCTTGGGCTGAGGCTATAACCCTATAAAAGATGAGAGAAGAGAATGTCAAACTGTGAGGCATTGAGATGTAGTAAAATACTGTTGGATGAATCAAACAAGGTAAATCGTGCCAAAAAAGGACAAACAAACCAAAGATATACACAAATTTCAATATCTTACACTTTTTTCATCTAAATTCAAGGTAAAAAAAAAACACAATAGTAAGTATTATTCTCCCAATACTCACCCTTCTATCTACAACAGGACTATGCTTAGGACTAGTTGAACTGACGTATGCAATGACCCCCCCATGACTCTTGTTCCTCTGGTGCCGTCGCCTTCGACCCGAGCCCCCACGGCTACCTAGGTCAGTCTCCTGGTGGCCTGACTCAGCCACTCCTCCCACGTTTTGTGAGTTGGTGGAGGACCTGGGGTTGCTCTGGGTCACGTGAAGGGAAGCAGGCCTCGTCGTGGACAACGGGAGATTGTTTGTACCAATCTCAGTGTAGAGGGGCTTCTTGGAACGATTCTAACACAGGGAAAGAAGGATTATCTATATGCTACAATCTATATTTGTATTTTTGTACTCTGAGTTATAAGCAAGGTCCTACAGATTCTCAAAAAAATTAGTCACAATCTTTATATAATTATCATATAATATCAACATAATTCTTATGCATATATCTACATCATAATAACAGCTTAATATTGGTTTACAAATGTTTACAAATAACTAAACAGATTGAATTTCTTTTTCCTCAAATATAACAAGATGCTATACATGACAATTTCATATTCAAATTTAGATATCTAATATTGTGAAATCTGTTTGAAGAGTTTCTTTAGAAAATAACATTTTATATCATCATTCAGTAATAACAAAATTAATAACTTTCATTATCATTATCATACTTCTTTTAATTAAAATCATAATGGTAATAACATTATTAAAAATAACAATAAAAATAACATATTATTAAAACCCAATAACTAACCGATGGCAGCTTTGACGTAGACACAAAACTCGTCTGTGCCTCGGGACTGGTTGGGTTGGAGGATGTGAGTTGGCCTCCCCTGCGTGCCTGAAGCCGCTCTTGGGCCTTGATCAGCGGCCGAACTATCCTCCGTTTTCCTTTGTGTATTTGGTTTGCGTGTTCCCTCCTGGAAGTCGACCTACAATTTTACAGTTTTGATATATGCCTGGGTAAAAAAAAACAGCCATCTGCTGTTTTTTTCTTTGCTTTTCTTTTAGTGCTTCTCTGTATTTGTTCTTTTAGGGGGGGTTGTTTGTTTTTTTTGGTTAAATTTTGGGTTTGATTAGCACAGGTATTGGGGTTATTAATTACCAAATGGTCAAAAGTGGATCATTTGGTAAGGGAACCAGATTAGAAACCAATTCATCCCTGCATGCCAGACATATATACAAGCATATATATTCACTTCATATTATCATCAAAGCATTATATGATATATATACCATCATTATACTACACCAATATAAGATATGAAAATAAAAAGCTACCACATTATACTTACTTTAGAAGCTCTTTTTCCCGTTGTTCAAGCTGCAACATTGCTGCCGATAGTTCAAGGTAGAGATCATTGGCAATGACAAGTTTCCGCTCCCAGTGTTCCCGGATGTCCTGCAAAGCAAATAAAATGTATTAAAATGGTTAAAATATAATGTTCCAAGATAGCCTGTAAATCTGTAGGAATAGGAGTACCTGATAACTCTCTCTTAATTATGTGCCATGAATCATTTTAAGTCTAATTCAGTGGTATATTTTTCTTCTTATCTTAAAACATGGTATATCATATATCAAAAATACATGTAAATCTAGGTTTATGTGTATTCATATATCACATATCATGTTGTTTAGCTTGAATTTAGGTTCCTTATAAAGCTCTGAATCTTATTACTATCAATAATAAGAAATATTACCTGAGCATGTTTCAGCTCGTCGTGCCGCCGTTTGACAAGGTCTTCTTCCATGCGAGGAATGTGTGACCCTCTGGAGTTCATGGACGCCATCTGTTGCCGGATCTCTGCCTTCCATGACATCTGTGGGAGGATGTCGGACTCAGTTCATTTTTCATTGTAACTCTTACATGCAGGTATAATGACAGACATACACTGATCAAAATACTGATATTCCTCAACTTCTCTCAGTTACAAAACCCCCTGAAATACAGAATCAAATTACACAATCTCATATCTGTTACCTGTGTCTTGAAATATGTTTCAGGAGGTGTGCTGCGAATTTCAACTGCTGCGATGTCAAGATGCATCAAAATATACTTGAACGAAGGCCTGTTTCGTGGTTTGGTATTCCAGCACATCTGAACAATTAGTCTAAATCCATCGGGGCAGGTCGAGGGTATGGGGAGGTGGAGAGAGCTAGATCCAACCCCATAGATGATAGCCGAGTTGTCAACGTCACGGTACGGAATCTCACACGTCAGCAATTCCCAGAGAACGACTCCAAATGACCTGGAAGGTTTAAATATGAGATTTAGCTCATGGATATGTTCTTTCTTTCTTTATTCTACATTTAAGGCAAGAAATTGTCAAATTAAAAAAAAATCAAGAAGAAAAGACAAGAAGTATAACCTATCACTGAGTCTGCATAGTATACTAATAGATTAATAATACACTGAAAAATAAATTCTAATTTAACATATACAAATAAACTCTTCACCAATAGAGATAACAACACTGATCAGCCTAAGTCTTTTAGAAACAAAACCAAAGAGAGCAATACATACCATATGTCCACTTTCTCATTGCAAGGTTCATTGCGAATAACCTCTGGTGCCATCCAAGCTAGCGTTCCTGCAAAGCTCATCCTGGTGCTCACGTCATTCCACTCGCGACATGTTCCGAAGTCACTGATTTTCACTTCTTGGTTGGCTCCAATGAGGACACTGGGAGGAACAGGGAAGAAAAACGTTTTTAAGACTGATATGATTAAGTTTAAAAATTAATTCAAAACAGACAGAATGAGTAAAATAGTTTGAAAGCTGACAATGAAAGAGAAGAAATTTCGAATTAAGGTTTGTGTTAGATTAAAAAAAAAAAAAAGAAAGATGATATGGAGACTAATAAATAATTTTACAAAAAAAAATGGGGAAAATATTAAAAATTATTCAAATAATATTATTAAATGGTTAACGGACCAAATATTCTGACTGGGAAATGCAGCATAGACTTAATAAAATCAGAATTCAAGGTTAAAGGAAAATATAAAAACATTTGAAAAATTTATATCAAAATGCAAGACCAGCAAATCCAAGGAATGAAGCCAAAAGAAATATAAAGTGGAGGTTTAAGAAAATCAATTAACAAATAATATACATACACATAAAAAACTCAATACAAATCTAAATATCAAAAAACCTAGCTTGGCCAACACAAGGAACAAATAACGGAATCATGAAAGGCATTAAAGATTGGAGATGATCAGGGAGAATTCCAATGCACGCTCGGACTTAATATATGTTAAATGATGAAATAAAAGCCAAGAAAATACTAATGCCGAGCGGAGCACCTAATAAAATGCTACGAATCATGGTGACTTGCGTTCCCTTTGTGATCTCAAATGAGGTTTCCGTGACCCTCCATGCTTATGGATGCAACAGCATTGGTCTCATTACAGATACTTTTACGTGATAATTTTTGTTATTTTAACGCATTTCCAGCTCCAATATTTGTGCTACAGATGTTGTTTTACTCTCTTTTTCTCTCACTCTCACTCTCACTCTTGCCCTTGCTCTTTCTCTCATTCCTGCTCTTGCTCTTACTCTTACTCTAACTCTTACTCTTACTCTCTCACCCCCTTTCTCTCTCTCTCTCTCTCTCTCTCTCTCTCTCTCTCTCTCTCTCTCTCTCTCTCTCTCTCTCTCTCACTCTCACTCTCACTCTCACTCTCACTCTCTCTCTCTCTCTCTCCCCCCCCCCTCTCTCTTCATCTCTCTCTCTCAATCTCTCTCTCTCAATCTCTCTCTCTCAATCTCTCTCTCTCAATCTCTCTCTTTTTCACTCTCACTCTCAGTCTCTCACTCTTACTCTCTCACTCTTACTATCACTCTCACTCACACTCTCTCTCTCACTCTCACTCTCAATCTCATTCTCGCTTTCACTCCCACTCTCACTCTTTTTCACTTACTCTCATGTTCATTTTCAATCACTCTCATTCACTTTTTCACTCTCACTCATACTCTCACTCTCACACCTACTCTCACTTTCACTCCCACTCCCACTCTCTCTTTTTTCACTCTCATTCCCATTCCCACTCCCACTCCCATTCTCACTCTCACTCATTCCCATTCAGTCTCGCTCTAATTCTCTACTCTTTTTCACTCTCACTCCCACTCCCCTTTCATTCCCACTCCCACTCTCACCTTTTTCCCTCTCACTCTTTCTTACTCTTTTTCTCACTTACTCCCTCTCCCACTCCCACTCCTACTCTCACTCCCACCCTTACTCTCACTCTTATTTTCACTCCCACTCCCACTCCCACTCCCACTCCCACTCCTACTCTCACTCCCACCCTTACTCTCACTCTTACTGTCACCCACACTCCTAATCCCACGCTCACTCACACTCACACATTCTCACCAACACACTCATAAACCAACACATCAATAAGAAAAAAAAAAACATCCATTTTTTTTTTTTTTTTTAATAAATCATAATGAATCTCCAACCGTAATTCCTCCTCTAATGAACAAAGACACGTACTTGGGACTCTTCAGATCCCTGTGAATGATCTTGTGCTGGTGCAGGTAGTTCATCCCCGAGGCGATCTCCTTGGCCCAACTGGCGACCTTGTCCGGCGGGATATCTCGGCCGTCCTTCAAGAGGTTGTATAAGGCACCGTAAGGACAGTATTCCATCACAATGCAGTAACAGGGTGCAGCTGTGCACACACCACTGGAAAAGGGAAGAGGGAGAGAGGGGGGGGATTGATTAATGATGTGGATGGATTTTTGTGTGTGTGGTTGTCTTGGGGGTTCTGGTTGTGGGGTTGTTTTGATTGGTTAATGGTGGGTTTTGGTGTTGCAGATGTAGTTGTAGTTTAATGTTGTTCTGGTTGTAGTTTTTTTTTCAGTGATTCATCTTCGTTGTATATTTTGAGTACTTATTTGGAGAAAGGAGCATGATATCTTATTTGAATATTGTGTACTATGGGTTTTACGTCATTTCATCAACAATGTATAGCGATTTGTCATTCATTCTGGAATCTTATATAAACCGTTAAAAACCAATTTGCTATTCATTCAGGGAATTTACATAAACCGGACAGTGAATAGTCTTATATCTGTCAGGAAAGGAAACAATGTATAGCGTTCAGTCACTCACGAACGAATCTTACAAGAACTAGGCAATGTATATCCTTCTGCCATTCAGAGAAAAAACTCACATAAACTGGACGATGTTAGGGTGGTTCAGCTTCCTCAAGTGCTGGATGTCGGTCTCCTTCTGCTCTCTGACCTTCTTTATGGCTACCCAATTCCCTCGAAGTCGCCCTCGGAACACTGCTCCTTGAGCTCCTGACCCGAGCCACTCCAGGTTCGACACTTCCTCGAACGGGATCTCCCAGTTGTCGGCTGTGGATATTAGTCTTCATTAGTAAAAAAATATATATATATGTATTGTATACGCTAAGAAGGGGGGGAAATACAAAAGAAAATATGTAATTCAATTTATTTCCTCTCTCTCCCTCCCTCTCTCTCTCTCTCTCTCTCTCTCTCTCTCTCTCTCTCTCTCTCTCTCTCGCCTTTATCTGTTTCTGGATATGCCAAGAGGGGAAGAATGTAAAAGGAAAGTAGGTGTACTTTTTTCTCTCTCTTTATCTCGGATCTGGATCTTGTCCACAGTTGAATTAAATTCAAATAAAATCTGGTAGCTTAACGATAGCACCTCTCTTTTTTATCTAAATCATCCTTGACAACACGCCTAAACTACACGGAAATGATAAAACATTACCAATAACACCACAAAAAATAAACTCATCCACTCATCCTAGATACAGAGATACGCAAAGACCAATACTTTATTCCCACATCAATAAATGACGGCCACACGACATCAATAAATGAAGGAAAAACGCACACTGCAAAAGGTCAATCTTCCTCTCTCTCTCATCCCATTGGCAAATCCGAGCAGCTTATAAAGCCCCTGAACTTCACAAGCCAAGCAACAGGAACACGAGAGAAGCCACATCGAGTGAACATAGGATGTCTGGGGTCATTTTTTTTATATTCCATGGCTGAAGGGACAGCAAATTGTGAAAGTTGAATATTTCGGATTACATTTCTGGTCGAATAAGTATTATCTCTTCTTCTTCTTCTTCTTCTTCTTCTTCTTCTTCTTCTTCTTCTTCTTCTTCTTCTTCTTCTTCTTCTTCTTCTTCTTGTCTTTAATGTCTTTGGTTTATATTTTAGTAATATGACATGTACTGGTTAACTATCTATATTACCCATTTCTCATCACTCTATCTCACCTATTTCCTTTCTGTACCTTGACTTTCCTTTTTGTTCCCTTTTTCTGTTCTCTGTTTTCTTTTCCTCCTCATTCTCCTATTCCACTACCTCCTCAGCCACCTCCCTCATCAGCCTTTCGCTTTTCGCCCATTATCGATCATTCTCCTACGCACACCTTCGCTTTCTTCGTTCCCTGCCTTGCATTTATTCAACATTAAAAAACTACTACTCTTCCTGATATCATTCCATTGACATTATTACTATTACTACGAAAGCTATTTATAATAATAATATAAAACTACTACTACAACTAATACAGTAAATATTAAACTCCCTATTATTAGTAGTATTACTATTACTAATACTACTAACATTAGCAATAACAACAATAATAACAATTAAAAAACTTACTTTGCTGCTGTTTCTCACTGATGGCCGCCTTGCCGATGATGGTCCACACGGGCCTCAGGCAGCCGATGATTCCTTCGAGCCAGTTCACCCTCTGGCCGTCCCGATAGGTGATCTGAACCCCACCGGGAGGGGAGTCCGGGCTGCTGTCTTCCCCTCCTTCATGGTGGGTTCTGGGATGGGGTTCGAGAGGCGTGGATCTTTGTGAGTGGAGTTGGAGGTTGTGGAGTTCTTCCTCCATCCGCAACATGCTGTTGGGAAGAGAAGGGAAAAAAGGTTTTTAGTTTGTTTTTGAGGGAGGGGGGGGATATAAAGGTGGTGTTGGGTGGGGAGTTTCGATGCGTGGGGAATGATTGGTTTGTGTTAAAATGTTTGTTTTTTTGTGAGTGTATTGTGTGTGTGTGTGTGTGTGTGTGTGTGTGTGTGTGTGTGTGTGTGTGTGTGTGTGTGTGTGTGTGTGTGTGTGAGTGTGTGAAAATAACTTCATACATTGAATACAACTTATATCGATACATTAAAATTAATTTGTGGCAAAAATTATATAGAAACGAATAAAAACTGTACCATATACGCAAAACCAATTATGAGCAACACTTCCTTACCCTTTGTTTCTTCTACGTAGTATGAACTCCATATTTAACACTGTTTTGAAGCCCAACAACTATCTTTTCTCTCTCTTAATACAGTCAAAACAGTTCTAAGATCATTTTCCAAGAAGTTCTCACCATAGGCATAAAAGGCGAGCTTCCAAAGGATCACAAAACTCATAATCCATTTATCCAAAACTCATGTGATCTGCTCCTGTATGGTTTCCACCATTCACTTTCCTTTCCTTAGAGTGGGTAATCTAGTTTTGCTTTTCATTCCTGTGGTTTTATGTTGTTAATAACCAAGATCGAAAGCAGGAAGTTGCTTAGAGACAGAAAAGGTATATATTCATGAACGACTTGCGTTTTCAGCAACACCAGGTTTCAGTATTCACTTTCAGAGAGTTTCGTTCATAGTCAGAAACATGTGCGACGTTTTGTATTCTACCTATACCTTCACTTTATCATTCTCTCTCATTCATTCTGTGTTTTCTTTTATTTTCTCCTGTTAAACAAAAATGACCTTAACCGGTTAGCAACTAAGAGAGGAGTGAAGTGACGAACGAGAAGCGCATTTACACTCTCACAGTAGAAGCTGCGCAGTATAGATCGAGGTTGCCCAATTATTGAAGAAGTTTGGGGGGTGGGGGAGCGAAGGGAGGGTAGGGGATGGGTGGAGGGAAGGGGAGGGGGCAAGGAGAGAGGGAGGGCAAGGGGAGAGACCCTGAACTTGACCGAAGGGGGAAGGGGGAAGGGGGAGAGGCTTGAGGAAAAGGTCCACCGCACACACGCACTTCCTGGAACGCTCTGTGTATTGTCCCGGAATGCGTTGTGTGTGTCTCGGAATCCCGTGTTTTGCTGTTATAACACGGGACGATTCGACGTTGATCTGAGAGTGTCTCGAAAGTCGATGTGAAAGCGGACTTGGGGGGGAGGGAGGCGGTTTAGGTCGAGGACGGTTGGTGCGGCTGAGTGAGCAGCGCATTTCATTTTAGGACACCTGTCTCGTCTGGTCTCGCAGTCGAAGCGTAAAAGCACATGGATTTTACATGCATTTCCCCTAGATAATTATACGGAGTTCATCTTACTTTTTAGAAGCCAAATACTACAAAACCACATAAACAAAAC